GGGGGGAATCATTCACTGCTGTGGGACGAAAACCATAGAGTGATTTTTAATTTTGTTTTTTATCTGGTAAACTCTGGAGCTTCTGCTGAATGTGATTGTGAATTTTGCAATGGGAAGGATAACTGACTTGTCATAGCAGGAAATCCACCTGCCACAGATAACAGTGTATTGCTAGTTTATCTTTTTTTTTTTTTTTTAGAAAACAGAGAAGTATTCTTATCTGTAATGAGTATAATCTCAGTTTTGATTAGTTTATTTGCTAGATTTAGTCTTGTAAATCTGTTTTTTCAAATCTCAAGAAGTATTGACTTAAGTAAGAGAGGATTCGTGTAAAATCCACCCCAAAACATTGAATAACCTAGTGAATCTAGGAAAGTTGGACACATATGAACTGAAATGTGCTTTTTTGAGTTTATTAGTTGCATAAAATCTTAGTATTATCACAAGAGTTAAAAAGTATGAATTATATTTTATTGCAAAACATACAAATGTGACATTAAAAAAAGCAGATGAACATCATTAAGCAAACAGTTCAAGCAACATAATGAAACACTAAATAATGAAGGGCATTGACCACTATTTACACTTTATTCAATACACAGCAACACTGGTTAACGGATGCACTTGAATGCAAAATAAACTTAACTAAACTCAAACATTATGTTTTAATCTACAAGAAAAAAAATGACACCATATAAAAGTGCTTTTTAAAGAGTTTTTCTCCATGATGAGACCGTTTGGTTTACACCAATAAAACAAACTTTACAAAAGAGCTTGTGCAAGTGTTGGACTATAAGAATTCCTATAATTTAACTCTTTTTGTCAATATTATTTCCAAATACAACTCATTTTAAAGGTGGTGAACTGTGAAAGTGCTCCAAAGGCAGAGGTTTAGGATTTAACTGTCAGTCTTCTCCGCAGAGTTTTCTTGTTGTGGTGTTTCACCAGCCGGCGTACACAGGCTCTGTGTCACAGGGCAGGCCGTAGTATCGACCCTGAGGCCGCTCTTTGCCTAGCAGTGGGGCTCGGGCGACCGTCAGCTCTCCATCTCCATCCCTCCGCCGACGTAGAACCAATAAAATGATGAAGAGTAAGGCCACTGCGAATAAGAGACAGAAATAGGAATAAAACTGCAGAGGGTGTGACAAGAATGCACCATCAGATGTGTGAGCATGATTCTTATTTTATTTTATTTCATTGTGTCGTTACAGAACAGCTTTTAATTTGTGTGCGTAACATTAAAAGTAATATTACAGCCTTACACTTAAAAAGCAAAACTATTTAGATTTTAAATATATAATTAATTATTGCCTGCTTCCAAAAGTCCAAGTTGGAGGAGAATAATTTTGAAAGTAATCACTGGATGTGCTGAACTTCATGAGTCAACCCAATTCAAGATGGCTGCCACAGCCAACTGATTTTTGGAAATGCAAAACAAGCTAAAGCTCAGCCAGTTTTACAGAAGTTGAGCTAAAGTTGTAGCTTACATTGATCCTCAGCATATATTCTGAGCACTGACTGTGCAAAACCTTTGTTTGAAATGTGGTCACAAAGTCGTGTTAGTAAAATGTTTCATGAACCACCAGAGGGATTTTATTGGAACTTTCAGGAAGTAATCGCTTTATGTACTTTTACAACTAATTCACTTATGGAGCCAACTCAGTTCAAGATGTCCACCACAGCCACATGACTTAAAAAAAATAAGATGGCTACAAATCAGTCAGTTTTATTGATATTGGTTTCAGATTTGGTGTATTTGCTGAGAGTCATTTACAACTCCATTTACTAATAATTATGCAAGACATTTGCTTAAAACAGAAATTACCTCTTGGAGTATCTGTCTGTTAGCAAAATATCTTATTAATAACTGAATGGATTATAATCAAACTCGCAGAAAGTAATCACTGGATATCTGTCAACAACTGATTAGCTTTTGGAGTCAATGCAATTGAATTTGGCTGCCACAGCTAACCAACATCATGCAACACATAATGGCTACAACTCAGTCAGTTTTACAAATACTGAGCTAAACTTTGATATGGTAGGAGCTAGCATTCGTTCACAACACTCGCAATATCACTTGAGATTCTGCATAATGTTATTTTCAAGTTTTGACCAAAACGCCTACAACTCTGTCAACTTTCAACAAAATGATTTCAGTCTAAAACTCTGACATGGAAGGAAGCGGGTGATAGGCATTCAACCAATTAGGGTATGAACGTGAAAACCAACAATAAAGCAGAACAATTAAAGAAATTAGATGATTAAAGTTACTGTCGCAAACCCCTTAAAGTCTAAAAACCCGTCTTATCTAAACCAGGGGTCTGCAACCTGTGGCTCTTTGGTCCTTGGTCTGCGGCTCCTTGAAGCTTTGACCAAAAAATGTAAAATGTAAATTCGTTTTTTTTTTTTTTTTTTTACCCACAGTACAAAAAAAGGCAAGATTTAGCTGTTTTCCTTCTAATGTTTAAAATAAATTACTAAAACAAGGAGAAAATAATGTTTAGCTTTAACATCATTTATCCAACTTACGACCTTACAGTAGGATCTTTTTCTCAAATCCCCCAGAAATTCTTTGGAAAACCTTTAGGAGAAGCTGCCTATAAATAAATATGGTGAATAATTAATAGATAGATATATCTAATTAAAGTTAAGTAAATATAAATTTTTTTTTTTTTAATTAAACATGTATTAAGTCACATTTACATATCCAACAAAATGACCTAATATTTAGACACACTTTAAATTACTGGCACTTTAAAGTGGGATGCATAATTATTTATATTTTTCTCACTTAAACCTGCAGAGTTCAGGGTTACATTTGTTTTGGTAAAACTGATATGAAATATATATTTTCCCCTTGTTTACATGAATGTGTTCTTTAGCCCTAAAATGTAAAAATATGAATTAATGTTAAAATTCATTATATCACTTTTGTTTTATAAAGTCACCCCCACTGGCTGGACAAAACCCCTTCATACAAATTTGAAGTGGCCCATGAGCCACCAGTTGATAATGACCGTTCTAGCAGGTTTTGCGGCTCTGGACTTGTTTAGGAAGTGACGGGTGGAAACGGCTCTTTTGATCTAAAAGGTCGCAGACCCCTGCTCTAAACAAACAGATTTAAAATGTGTTTAAATCAGATTCATTGTTGAAAAAAACCCTACACGTGCAGGAATTTAATGTTCTCTTTTTATTGCTTGTCTTCCTGAACTGCTACTCACCCCCTCCTCCGATAACTAACAGAGCGATGGTGACAGGAGCCAGTTCACAAGTGTCCCCTGCTTTGCGGAAGAACGTCTCCATGCAGTAGCCTGGAGACGTGCTGCCCTTCGGACAAAAGGCGTCATTTGGACACAGGATGGGGTTCACGTCGGGGCTCTGAGAGAACAACATCAAACATGCGTGTAAACTTTCCGTTGTGCACATGTATGTTTGAGTACACGGGGTGCGCAGCGCTCACGGGGCAGTAGTGATCCTCTGGGCAAACGTCACAGCTTTCCTGGCCCCACTTAATCTGGTAGAAGCCATTGCTGCAGATCTGACACAATGTCTGATGAGAGGCTTTGTGCATGCCTGTTCAAACCATAACAGTTTCTCTTATTGTTGGCATCGGCTGCAGGAAACACTCAGAAATACGAACGTGGGGAATACCTGGTCGACATGGTGTGCAGTCTTTGGCAGCAGACTGCAGAGCCTCTGCTCCTGCAGGGCACACCTGGCACTGAGCACAACCAGACGAGCTGTCAGAAACAAAAATATATGATTATGATTATTGAAATAGACTTGTTTACATTTATCATGGCTGCAAGAATTAAAGCAGATACGTTTGATCATCTAAAACATGGTTAGAGTGCTGCTGCGGCCACTTGATAAAGTGATAGAGATAATATTTTACAGTCAAAAGTAGAGTGTATATTCCTATAAAACTATTGTCACGTTTGTTTTTTTAGAATTAAAATCTAATGGAGGATATGGAGACATCTGTTTATTAACTAAAAGAACAAAAAAGGCGGTCACACAGCAAAAATAAAAATAAATAAGATGCAAATTGTACAAAAAAAGATTAAGCCTGATAGTTTAGATTGTCCAATCGGTTTAAACAAAATACAAATGCTGCGAAAGGAATTAAAACTGTAAATGTGACAAATATTACAACAAATACGTGTTATTCTTGTTTAGATTGCTTAAAACCGAGAACCTAAAGCTTTTGCTCAGGACTTGTGCAAAATGTAAATATGTCTTGTGTCATTGTGCAGAAATATAGATATTTGACAACATCCTTCATCTTTTAAACACCACAGCAAATAAATAAAATTAACCTTTCAAGGGGCCTCAATTTTGAGGCGACCTGGGTCATTTTGACCCAAGGGCAGCAGGGGGGTTAAAACAAAGCAAGTGGTTATCGTTTATGGTTCATCCTGTGGAAGTCAGATAATGTAAAAATATACTGCTGTCCTAGAATAGCAAACTATTTTCACAGAAAGACCTACTGAAACACAAACACAGCCTCAGTTTCAACTTTTTATTCCTACAGCTGCTCAGTCAAAACCTCAGCTGTGCAGATGGTGGTGTGTGTGTGTGTGTGTGTGTGAGTTTTGGTGTGTGTGTGTGGAGGCAAACATGGGATGAAATCATGTGATGTTCAATTTGGTGGTTAGATAAGTGATTTTCCCAAATGAGCACGCACACACAGAGTTCTGATTATTTTGAACAACAACAAAATCTGAAACACACACACACACACACAAAAAAAAAAAGTCTCAAAAACAACTTACTTGCAAAAACTTCCCAGCTCACACGGTGAACAGGAAGTGGAGCTTTGCTTTGATGCAAAGAAACCTGAAAGCAGCATGCAGAAACCACCTCACATGTGTTCTGTTTAGTTCTCAGATTTCAAACTGCGGCGTGTTTACGGGAAAGAAACATGTTGAGATCAGTGAACGTAAAACCGTAGTTTTGCTTAAAGGTAGGCAACCAATCCACGTACTGTTACAGCTAAATAAACACACCTGGTGTACAACTTGGGCAACTTTCTGCACCAGTGTTGTTGTTGAAGGATCCAGCGGGACAGGGGAGACACAATGGACTTCCAGTGAAACTGCAAATACAACCAAATGAGCAACCGAGAGGTCAAAAGCAGTGATAAAAGACAACTTGTGAATTTGTTTCCACGATCTGTGTCTTTACTTGGTGTAGAAGCCCCAACTGCAGGGCAGACACTGCTGCTGTCCTGACAGTGACTGATAAAAGCCCTTTTTGCACGGCAGACAAGCTCCAGGAAATACACACAGCCCGGGTTCAGAACAACACGAGCACAGCAGTGTGTCTGAGGAAAGACAAAAACATTTCTTTTATTTCTTTTGTCTGCAGCACAACCCCAGCCCTGGCAATGTGTTGAGGAACGTTGTTCTGAAATTGTTGCAGACTGGTGAACCCCATGTTTACTTCTGAGAGATTCAGGGTCTCTAAAATGTTCCTTTTTATACACAATTAGCGTATTTTCCAGAGTATAAGTCACAGGTTTTTTTTGCATAGATTTGTCAGTCCTGCGACTTGTATACGTTTTTCCATATTCATAACATAATTTTTGACTGATGCTTTGAATTTCAAAGAACTGCAACAGCGAGTCCTCGATTGTCCACTCGCATCACTCAGCTGGTGCAGGAAAACTGGAGAGCTCGCAACTCCGTCCGCAATGGATGGATGGATGGCGCTGCGCCGCCCAGGCAAAATGAAGCTGTTTTGACCATTAAAGTGCATTTATTAAGGAAAAGTTAAACTGAGACACACTTTTGCTATAATGTCAAGCAAACAAATAATTGTTTTTAAGTGTTAATCTTGTTAAAATTTGAAGAAATGCAACAGCGAGTCCTTCCATGCGCACTTGCTTCACTCAGCTGGTGCAGGCGGAGGAACGCTGGAGAGCTAGTGGCTTTGTCCGCAATGGATGGATGGATGGATGGATGAATGGATGGATGGATGGAGTGGTGCCACCCAGGTGAAATGAAACTGTTTTGACCAGTAAATAAACGCATAATAAATGTGACTTATACGCCAAAGCCACTTGTTTATGTTTTGTCCCTCTTCATGATGCTTTTTTTGACTGATGCAACTTATACGCCGGAAAATACGGTAGTCGCAAATTACTCCTGCCTTATTCATACCACTTCGTTTTTCAACCTTTTTTTGTCCCTGTCTCTACTTTCAGATGTGTTGCTGCCATCAAATACAAATTTTATTTTATTTTTTTTTTCCAACAAATGGTGCAATTTAAACATTTGATATGTTTACTATAATCATTTATGAATAAAATATGTGTTTATTAGATTTGCAAGTCATTGTATTTTCTTTTTATTGGCATTGTACACACCTTCACATCTTATGAATAAGACAAACCATTTCTTCAGGAAACATGGACGTACCATTGAATAGAACTGAGGATAACAGTTTATAATGTGAATCTAAAGTTTGTCGAAATATATTTAGAGCGTCTACCCTCACACAATAAACGAGTAACAAGAGAAGAAAATCATGATGGCTCACTGTTGTCATATTGTGATCCTGGAGCACACGGCTCACAAGTAGAAACATTGAACGCAGAGCAGCCTGGGGTGGTGCTGCTGAAGATCACGGGTGTTGGAGTCAGACTGGTGGTGTCCTGAACGAGAGTGGTGTTCATCGCAGTGGGAGTGGGTGTAGGAGTGGTCTGACTCACCACCATGCCTGGAAGGGGAAAAACTCGGGTCAGGTTAAACAGTCAACTGTCTCATAAGGCCATCAAACGCCCAAACATTCACAAACTGAAAGAAGCAAAGCATGAAAACCATTTTAAACTGGTCTCTGACCTGTTACAAAACAATGCGTCATCATAGACTTTGCAAAATATTGACGATTATCCCAACCATGAAAACACCAAAACCAAATAAAATGTCCAGCAGTCCTTAAAGCTGTCACCTGCCTTTCATGAGGTTTAAACTCAAATCATCTTGTGCTGAAAAGGAAAGTTGTGTCCGTTTTAGTCAAACCTTGAAAATAACACACACATCTCATGAAATAAAGTGTTACACTCAGACTGTGTGCTGTGAATGACTCTCAGCTACTACCACATCTGAACTTTAGCTCGATATCCGTTAAAACGACCGAGTTGAAAACCGTTTTTGTTGCTTTTTAACAAAAGCTCCTAAAATGAATCAATTGTAGATGATCATCTGATGATTTATTTACACAGATTTCATGAAAATTGTCCAGTAGTTCATGAGAAATTATAAAAACAGGCAGACGTGGACACAAACATAAACAGAACCTGAGTTTTGGTGGTCATCAGGCGTATGTGCTTGAATATTTCAGATATTTTACGCATGCAAAATCTCACCAACATTGCAAGTAAAGTTATAATTTTCTTAATCAAATGTGCTTCTGCTTGGAAATCCTGCTCCCTATATACAGTATATATATATATAAACAATATACATATACATATATTTTAAATATATTGTGTTCTGATTATGAACACTAATTTTGAGTTTCTCCTTCGCTCACATAAACTGAGCATGGATACAGCAGGCGAACGAAAACAAACTGAAATCAGCTATAAATAAGAAGAAGCGTCTTCGTTCTAATAAACTTGTCTTCCTCAAGCATTTTTATTCACGCCACAAGAACTTCAGCATTACCCTCACCTCGCAAAAAATGCAAGCAGCCAAACAGAGCTCATATTGTGGAGTTAATCTCATAAGCAATGTGCTCAAGTGCTTTTTGAATGGAACCCACCAGCCTGACAAAATTAAATTATTCAGCAAGAGGGCGGTCATGTGATGTTTCTGCTCCTTTTGGGGTTTGGCAACAATGTTCAACCAAAGTGTCCAAAATATAATAAAAACTGGCTGAAAGAAAAGGAAAATCTTAAATCACAGCATTTGAAAGTAGTTATTGGAGTTAATACTAGAGCAGAAAAGCTGGATTTGATTTAAAATAACACTTAATGTTTCATGGTGGTGTTTATAAGTTTTTGCTGATTTTATTTAAAATAATTTTACATGTTTTAGGGAACTTTTAAACGAGGCAACAAAAAAAAAAAAAAAAAAGACTAATTCAAATAAATGTCCACAATTTATTTAATGTATCCAACAATAAACCTAATTTATTAGCAGATGAACTTGTTATAAAGAGCAGCTTCCTTAATTTGACTGTTTCTACACATTAAAAAGCCTCTGTATTAGATTTACAGCATCTTTCTTTGAGTTTAGAGTTGTCTTCTGTAAAAGTTTAATAAAACTCACCGATGAGACAAGTGGCAGCGATGGCAGGGAGAACTCCCCAGCGGTCCATCCTGCAGATCCTGCGTTCACCCAGCAGTGTTTGTCTGCAGCATCTCATCCCAGACTGAACACAGAGGAGGTTTCAGTTCTCAGGTCCTCTCATCAGTGTCATATGACAAAAAATATCATGTGATTTGACTTTGCAGGCAGAAACGGGCTGGATTTAGACCAGCTCTGCTGCTGTTAAAGCTACAGCCAGCAGGTTCACTGTTGCAGCAGGTAGATGTGCACAGATTATTTTGAACATCATGTGACATATTTAATAGAAAAACAGTTATTAGGCCTAAATAGAGATGGTTTTGTACTTTTTATTGTGCCATAATAAACATTCATGATGCATGGAAAATATCTATTAATCCAATAAGGTCCATGATCAATAATCCAGGTATACAATCCAACAATTTTTAGTCAGCTATTCATCCAGTTTTCTCTTTAAAGCTCTTGTTTTTAGATGCAGTACTGCTTCTTTGTGTCTATTTCCCTTTTATTCTTTGAGCAATGATGAGTGATGCTGATACCAAAGCTGTTTTTAGTGAAGGGGAAAAATCCCCTGAAGTCACAAGCTTAAAATCAACTTCCTCTTTTAGTTAGTTTTTTGTGCTTTATCAGTGATCTTTGGAGAAATAAAATAAACTTTTCTTGAACTAAGAATGTATTTAAGTTTAAAAAGACCACAGACATGTTGGCAAGTTGTTTATTTTAGTTCAGTGGTAAAAAAAAAAAAAGAGTCAAATTAACTTACAACATGAAGCTAATTAGTTTGTGAAAATAAGAACCATTAATAAATGAGCTTGTGGAGCTCATTTCTTTTTGATGTTTTCTGCTAAGATGAAGAATCATCCTGGATGTAGCGTGCCAAACTCTGCTCCAGCTCCTCCCAGCTTTGGACCTTTAAACGTTCCTGGTAAAAAACATGCCAGATGTGTCATTTCCTGCATCAGAGACATATCGTCTTCCTCTCTAATTTGTGCTCACCTTTGTTCCTGTTTCTACTCTCGTCTGTTTGCAGGTCTTGCTCCTCTCTCTTAGCTTCAGTCGTTTACGTTCCTGCTTTTTCTCCTCGAGCTTCTTCCTCAAAGCCAAAACTGTCTCGTCCTCAGCCACCACCTGCTGCAGGAATTCCTGCTCGGCCTTCTTCTCCTCTTTCCTGCCAAATGACATGATTGTGCATGTCAAAATGTAGTGCTTTTACAAGCCTAATTCGAGCAAAGTTGGGATGTTGTGTGAAATTTAAATAAAACCTGAATTATTTGTAAGCCTCTTTAAGCCACGTTTTATTCACAATGGAACGTGACAAATATTGCAAATGTTTATGTAATTGTACCTTTTTGCAGAAAAAAAAGGGTAACTCAATTTGATGGTTACAACACATCTCATCAAAGTTAGGACAGGTCCATGTTTCCCACTTTGAATCATTCCTTGTTCTTTAACAACAGTCTGCAAACATCTAGGAGCTCAGGAGACCAGCTGCTGGAGGGTTTGGAGAGGAACGTTGTCTCATTCTTGTCTATGTTGGATTCTGGCTGTTCAACAGTCCTGGGTCTTCATGGCTGGATCCTTCATCTCATATCTCATCTCATGCCTCAAATATCTTCAGTTGGTGAGAGGTCTGGACTGCAGGCAGGTTAGTTCAGCACCTGGACTCTTCATGCTGCTCCAATGGATGAATGTTTGTGGTTTAACATCCATCCATCCTTTCCTATAAAAGTTGTCAGCTGGGTGGGGGTTGTTGTTCTAAAACCTAAATCTAAAACTGTGTATACTTTTCTGCATTGACAGTTTCTTTTCAGATGTGTAAGCTGCCCGTGCCATAGGCATGAATGCACCCCCATATCATCAGAGAGGCAGGCTTTTGAACTGTGCTTTGATAACAGGCCAGATGGTCTCTCTCCTCTTTAGTACAGAGGATGTGGGTTTCAATCAGGTTTATAAGTTTTGATTTATCTGACCACAGAAGTTTTCCACTCCCTCAGTCCATTTTAAATGAGTTTTGGTGGTGGTGTTTCTGGATGGTGTAAAGATATGGCTTCTTTTGCATATATTTTTTCTCTGAAGGCCCAAAAATCCAATACTGACTTTCAGTCTTGTTCTTTGAGCTCAGAGATTGTTAAAATCTTTTGATGATATCGCAAACTGTAGACATAGGATATATATAGTCAGACCAATTTTTTTGTTGAAGAACATTCTTATGAAATTTGTGCCACTATTTGTAGACAGTTCTTCCCCGACTGGTAAACTCCTGCCCTTCTTTACTTCTGAGAAATGCAGCCGCCCGACAACCTCTTTTTATAGCCGAGCTTCTTACTGACCTGTTGCCACTTAACCTAATTAACATAAATGCTCATCCAGCTGTTTCCTGTTTGTTCCATTTACATTTTTTTTGTCCTTGTGAACTATTTTAAAAATGCATTGCTGTTATAACATTTAAACTTCATTTTTTTTTCCCAACAAGAGTGCAATTTCTTAGTCTCAACATTTGACATGTTTCTTTGCTCCTTTGTGAATAAATATAGGTTTACAAAACTTGCAAACACAATGTCTGAACTCTTGGAATGGGGTTGTACTACGTGTATCCAGTGCCTGACCTGTTGGCAGTTGCCTTTGCCAGCACTCTCCTGTGCAGCTCGATGGTGTCTAACTTCTCCAGCATCTCTTGCTTCTTCCTCTGCTTCTCCTCCAAGATGTGGCCTCGTCGCTCTTCCCTTTCTGCTCGCTCGGACTGCTTCAGCAGGGCCAACCGCTCCTTCAGCTCGGCCAAAGACATCTCCCCCAGCAGCTCATGGCCTGCAGCCTGACAGGATGAAAGGATGAGTTCACCATGACACAGAGACAAGCAACGTGTTTGTGTGAAGTCACTTACCTCCGTGTCACTGAAATTGTGGAGTCTGATGCGAGGAAGTGACTCAATGGAGTGAATTTCACGGATAATTTGGTATTTTCTGCAGAGCTCTTCCTGTAGTTCTTCAAGTGCTTGGCGAAGCAGCTCCTGGCTTTGCTCTGAAACTTCTTTAACTGAGAAATGTGCATGAAATGTATCAGAATTCAACCAAAATCATTAAAAACCGACTCTTGTGTAATGTCAAATGATAAGGCAGACCTATGTTTTGCTTTAATTTCTGTATTTTCTCTTTAGCTGCCTTTGGGTTCTTGTGGCCCTCTGCCACTTGTTTCACCAAATCTCTCAGTTCCTTTTCTTCCTGCATTCGTTTTTCTGCATATTTTTGCATCAGTTGTGCGGTCTTTAAAAACAAGAAACCATAAAAACATTTCTTTCATTCATGCTTATTTGCAGAAAGCGTTGCAGTTCTTGTCTTTGAACACAAATTCACTGTGATTTTAGTCATTAGTTTTTTTTAAAATCACCTCTTCTTTTTTTAGCTGCGCAGCCTTCTGGTTCTGTTCGATTATTCGCTGACGAATTAGAGCCACCTCCTCTCCACCGATGCGTGCCTCCAGGCGTCTTCGTTCAATCATGGGCAACTTTTCCTGACAGTCCCTCTTGAGCATCTCCCTCTGCCACTGAAGAAAAGCTGAAGGTTCTCGAGCTCCTTGCAGCAGCTGCTCAATTCTTTGTTTCGAAACAAAAGGATGTGCATGTGAATTTTCTACAACTTGATCAATAAAAAAGCCTGACTCAGAGCAAAATTAGCTCTTTTTTGGAGGGTGGGGGTGG